ATGACTCGATAAAATGTTTATTTGTCTCGCTGACATGCCATTACTGCTGCATATTGAAATACAGTAATATGAATTGACAGCAGATTATTACCAATTATTACCACAAACATTTCATGAAGTAGGCTAGACTGCTCTTTAGTTCTCTACTCAACTTTAACACATTTCCTCGTGTCGCTGAGCCTCTCTGCAGATTTTGCCAAAAATGAATGCTTAGTGATTACTTTGTTTTATGCAAACCATATATCAGTAACTTATCATTAGCATTATTTTTTAAAAAATCACCCACAGCTTTCATGTTCTCTAAAGCAATCTTGTCTGTAAGTTAGAAGTGGATTTATACGTGTTAAAAGCCTAAAAGTATTTAATTAACATTAGTCACGTTAAATTAGATTATTTTATTTATTTAATTTTAAATATGTTAAATATGTAGCCTTTTAAAGTCAGAATGAACTGTGTTCACCCGTCTTAAATCCGTGGAAGCACTAGTAGTGTGCTCATGGAATCAGATATTCGAGCTATACAGAGTCGGACATTAAGTTAAGATGAGACTTTATTTTTTACACACCTGACTAGCGATCTTTAAGAACAATGCCTGCTGATCTTTTCCCCATTAACGTTAGTGTAATTGTGAATTGACAACAAACTGTATTTCACCAACAAAAACAATTAAAAAACTGTTTTATATAACTGATATATATATATATATATATATATATATATATATATATATATATATATATATATATATATATATGTATATATATTTAAACAGCAGTGCAGTGTTTCGTTTCTGAATGAATTAAATGGTTTGAGGGATGATTAGTTTTTACTTCAGTGATTGATTTTGCTTGTCATTTTTGCAGGATCATCATCATGTTGCTGCCCTTTTTCACTGTCCCTTTCCACATCATTTGGCCTTCATCATTTCCTGTCTTGTAGCAGTATTCTCACCTTTTTTAAAATTGTAATAATTTTTGATGCATTAATTGTTGACTGGTTTTAATGATCAATTGTTTATTAGTGTTCTGTTGCTCTGTTATATTGAATTATTGCTACTGTTTTAGCATGGTTTACACAATAAACCTTTATTGTGAAGTTAAAAGTTTCAGTTTCTTTATTTTTTTTGTACGTCTTGAACAGTTAAAAAAACACTTGTGCAATTTTTGAACATTTTTACCCATTATAAAGTAGCACTATTAAATAAAATAAAATAACATTTAATAACTGTAAAATACTATACAGTAACAATGAAAGTAACATTAAAATACCGTAGTTCTTCATGGTAAAAATGTACAATAAAATACTGTTTTCAGTTTTACAGTATGTGCACCACTACTGTTATTAGTGTTACAGTAAAAATCAACAACAGTAAAATGATGTATTACATTTTATAGTAAATGTAATACTAATGTAATTAGTATTACAGTAATGTTACTGTTTTATGAAATACAGCAGCTACTGGATAATTGTTGCCAGTAACTTACTGTTAATTTAACAAGAAATCGTTTACAGTGTATATATATATATATATATATATATATATATATATATATATATATGGGAATAATAAATGGAAAAAAAAACATATTGTGCAATAAAACAAAAGACTTTTGGGGCAATCACAAAACACTGCTTAGTTGATAAAAGTTGATAAAAACTAATTTAGTCGTTATTGAGTTGCTTAAAATAGTTTTTAATTATTCCCTTACCTTCACTGTAGTATTAAGAGTTTGAGTGCGCGTAAAAGTATCTTCACTGTTAATGCTGATCAGCTCCGCGTCTGCTGGTGGAAACGGCGAAGGGAAAACCACTACATCACTCTTTATTGTGTCTGAACTAAAACACACGTCGTACTGTTGAGTAGATTTAGAGAAGGACCAGCTGCCGTCTGGATGTGTGTTGATCACTGGAGCGCCGTACCTGCTGAAACTGCTGTCTGTCCTGTAGCATTTAGCTGCTATCAAACCCACGAGACTCAGTAAAAAGATGACTGATACTGAGACAATAGCGATGAGCAGATACAGATTCAGATCTGAAAAACTCTCCTCTTTAACAGAAACTTCTCTGAATGATGTCTTTATGTCATCCAGACTCTCGAGAACCACAACATCCATGGACGTAGTCGCTGAGAGCGATGGCTCTCCATTATCAGACACTGTAATCATCAGTGGGTGAGTTTTTAAGTCATTGTCACTCATTCGTCTCTTAGTCCTTATTTCTCCAGTGCTGCTTCCAATGCGGAAGAGATTAGTTCCTTTGGGTTCAGTTAGATGATAAGACAGAAGTGCGTTATATCCAGAGTCAGCATCAACAGCTCTGATCTTGGCTACAAAGTATCCCGCTTCAGCAGAGTAGGGGATGTTCTCAGTATTAACTGATCCAGGTTCAGAATAAGGTGCTAAAATAACTGGACTGTTGTCATTCTCATCCAGAATAAACACATTTACAGTCGCATTACTGCTCAGAGGAGGAACACCAGCATCTGTAGCCATAACTTGAAACTGAAATCTTTTGGTCTCTTCATGATTAAATGATTGCAAACTGAATATTTCTCCACTTAAAGAGTTGATATTTATCAGTGTTGTTACAGGAATACTGGAGCTGGAACTGTCTAACAGTGAATATGAAAGTTCTGCGTTCTCACCAGTGTCTGAATCATCAGCAGTCACTTTTGTTACGAGACCTCCAGCTTGACTATTCTCACTTAGAAAAGCGTTAATAACGGGTGCTGAGAAATGTGGAGCATTGTCATTAACATCAGAGATATGAACAGTTATAACTGTGCTGCTGGAAAGAGGCGGACTTCCTTCATCTGCAGCTGTAATAGTGATGTTATACTGAGAAAAACTCTCTCTGTCCAGAGGTCCATCTACCACTAAAGAATAATGATTATTGTACGATGTCTCCAGTTTAAAAGGAACTGAGCCTTTAAGAGAACAGTGTACAATGCCATTTTTACCCCCATCTTTATCAGACACTGTGACTAAAGCAACAGCAGTTCCGGGTTTTGCGTCCTCTTTCACATTTTCCATCAGTGGAGTTGTAACTATTTGTGGTGCATTATCATTTTCATCCACAACTTCTATTAAAACTTTACAGTGAGTGCTTTTAGGAGGACTGCCTTTATCTCTAGCCTGAACACGCAGTTCAATTGCTGAGTCTTCCTCGTAATCAATTTTGCCTTGAACAAATATTTCCCCTGAAGCTGGACTTATTTTAAATAGATTTAGTTCATCAGTATTTTTATGCAATGAAAATTCAAGCTCACTGTTAATTCCCTCATCTTAATCATTGGCAGAAACAGAAATTACTTTGCTTCCAACTGGTGTGTTTTCCATCACTTTAACTTTGTATAAAGGTTTGCTAAAAATAGGTTTATTATCGTTCACGTCCATGACGTTAACAACAATACTCAAGGTTCCAGATCTAGGAGGTTTTCCTCCGTCAAAAGCTGTTAGTATTAAATGAATAACAGCTTGCTTCTCTCTGTCTAAAGCTTTTTGTAGCACTAATTCGGCAAACATACTCTTTTGTCCGCTATTAACGTCTATAGAAAAATATTCATTTGAACTGAGTTTGTAGTCTTTCAGAGCATTACTGCCGGCATCTGAATCTTTTGCGGTTGGAAGGAGAAATCTGTCTCCCTCATTCGCATTCTCAGTGACATTTACAATATACGTGCTGTCTGGAAATAATGGAGCATTGTCGTTCACATCTACTATTGAAATTTCTATGCGATAAAGTCTGTGAGGATTCTGAGCAAGAGCCTCTAAATTCAGTGCACATTTCTGGTTAACGCCACACAACTCCTCACGATCAATCCTGTCTTTGACAAACAGCGACCCCGTTTTCACATTTACATCAAAATACTTTGCATTTGATCCAGGCATAATCTGAAACATGCGGGATTCTAGTTCCCGAGCACTCATCTTGAGATCTTTTGCTATGTTCCCGATCACAGTTCCTTTATTTACCTCCTCCGAGACTGAGTAGACAATCTGGCCAAGCGATGAATCCCATAAAGACAAGAATAAAACAATCCAAAAGCCGTATGGTTCCGAGAGATCCATGATCGTGCAATGCAATATCCAGCGGTTAATTTCGTGATGATGTATTAAAATACACGAACTCGTATATCGACACAATCCGACATAAAATTCAAAAGCAACTGTGAGGCTTGGTTATTTACACCACCTTCAATGCTTTTCCTCTTTTTCTGATGCTGAGGAGGAGTTAAAATTTGGCTCAAAATCATGGTCTGCACTGCCCCCACGTGTTGAAACAGTGATGAAACTATGAGATGCTACTAAATGCAGTTTTCTATAAAATTAAGTTTGACGTCCTTGTTTGATCTTCCTCATAATTTTAACTCTTGCAATTATTACGAGATATAATAAAATTGTGAGTTTCGTAGAACAAGACGCAGATTAGGGAGGCATATGTCACAGTAGAAGCTAACAAAACACATCCGCTGTCCGTGGTACTGAAGTGATTTTTATCCTTGATTTAAAAATAGGTAACGTTTCGGTTATAGCGCAAACTAACAAGCAAAGAGCAGGATATCAAGAGCTAAATGTAAATTTTGTGACAATAATATTAATAACAACAAATAAAAATAATTAAAACAATATCGTCCCTTAGTGCCATGTGCCAAGTCCATGCAAATCAAAATTTCACTTCAATGCTGGTCATTGTTACGAATAAAACCACAAATAAGGCACATGAACCAGAGGTATTTGAAACATATACTCTGAATAACAAGTGGGAAATGAAAACGTTTCACTTATTCAAAAGCACCCAGTGCTTTACTTATTTTGATTTGACAGTGCATTTAAGTGTATTTCTTTTAAGCATTTTCAGAAACAGAAAAAGTACATGTGTGTATATTCATTTTAAAAAAAGATTTTAAAAAAAATGATCATTCCCGGAAATATGAAAGGTTTCTATAACTTTTGAGTCAAGTGCAGTGCTATGAATTACAAAACAATTTACCGTCTTACCTTCTCGTTGGTAGGAAGAGTTTGAGTGCGCGTAAAAGTATCTTCACTGTTAATGCTGATCAGCTCCGCGTCTGCTGGTGGAAACGGCGAAGGGAAAACCACTACATCACTCTTTATTGTGTCTGAACTAAAACACACGTCGTACTGTTGAGTAGATTTAGAGAAGGACCAGCTGCCGTCTGGATGTGTGTTGATCACTGGAGCGCCGTACCTGCTGAAACTGCTGTCTGTCCTGTAGCATTTAGCTGCTATCAAACCCACGAGACTCAGTAAAAAGATGACTGATACTGAGACAATAGCGATGAGCAGATACAGATTCAGATCTGAAAAACTCTCCTCTTTAACAGGAACTTCTCTGAATGATGTCTTTATGTCATCCAGACTCTCGAGAACCACAACATCCATGGACGTAGTCGCTGAGAGCGATGGCTCTCCATTTTCAGACACTGTAATAATCTGTGGGTGAGTTTTTAAGTCATTGTCACTCATTCGTCTCTTAGTCCTTATTTCTCCAGTGCTGCTTCCAATGCGGAAGAGATTAGTTCCTTTGGGTTCAGTAAGATGGTAAGACAGAAGTGCGTTATATCCAGAGTCAGCATCAACGGCTCTGATCTTGGCTACAAAGTATCCCGCTTCAGCAGAGTAGGGGATGTTCTCAGTATTAACTGATCCAGGTTCAGAATAAGGTGCTAAAATAACTGGACTGTTGTCATTCTCATCCAGAATAAACACATTTACAGTCGCATTACTGCTCAGAGGAGGAACACCAGTGTCTGTTGCCATAACTTGAAATTGAAATCTTTTGGTCTCTTCATGATTAAATGATTGCAAACTGAATATTTCTCCACTTAAAGAGTTGATATTTATCAGTGTTGTTACAGGAATGCTAGAGCTGGAACTGTCTAACAGTGAATATGAAAGTTCTGCGTTCTCACCAGTGTCTGAATCATCAGCAGTCACTTTTGTCACGAGACCTCCAGCTTGACTATTCTCACTTAGAAAAGCGTTAATAACGGGTGCTGAGAAATGTGGAGCATTGTCATTAACATCAGAGATATGAACAGTTATAACTGTGCTGCTGGAAAGAGGCGGAGTTCCTTCATCTGCAGCTGTAATAGTGATGTTATACTGAGAAACACTCTCTCTGTCCAGTGGTCCATCTACCACTAGAGAATAATGATTATTGTATGATGTCTCCAGTTTAAAAGGGAACGAACCCTTTAAAGCACAATGTAAAATGCCGTTTTTACCCATATCTTTATCAGAAACTGTGACTAAAGCAACAGCGGTTCCTGATTTTGCGTCCTCTTTTACACTTTCCATCAGTGGAGTTGTAACTATCTCTGGGGCATTATCATTCTCATCCACAACTTCTATTAAAACTTTACAGTGTGTACTTTTTGAAGGACTGCCTTTATCACTTGCCTGAACACGCAGTTCAATTGCAGAGTCTTCCTCGTGATCAATTTGACCTTGAACAGTAATTTCTCCAGAATTGGTATTAATTGTAAAACGGTTCAGTTCGTCGTTATTTCCGTGTCCAAGAAATGAATATTGAATTTCGCTGTTAATGCCCTCATCCAAATCTCTGGCTGATACAGAGATTATTTTAGTTCCAACTGGCGTGTTTTCCTTCACTTTAACTTTGTATAAAGATTTGCTGAAAACAGGTTTATTATCGTTTATATCTTTAACATTAACAACAATACTCAAAGTTCCAGATTTTGGAGGTTTCCCTCCGTCAATAGCCGTTAGTATTAAATGAATAACAGCTTGCTTTTCTCTGTCTAAAGCTTTCTGTAGTATTAACTCAGCATATATACTCCTTTGCCCGCTATGAACATCTAAGGAAAAATGTTCATTTGAACTGAGTTTGTAGTCTTTTAGAGCATTACTGCCGACATCTAAATCTTTTGCAACTGGAAGAGGAAATCTGTCCCCCTCAATCGCATTTTCTGTAACGCTAAGAATATATGTGCTGTTTGGAAAAACTGGAGCATTGTCGTTCACATCCACAATTACAATTTCAAGTCGATAAAGTCTGTGAGGATTCTGAGCAAGAGCCTCTAAATTCAGTGCACATTTCTGATTAACGCCACACAACTCCTCACGATCAATCCTGTCTTTGACAAACAGCGACCCCGTTTTCACATTTACATCAAAATACTTTGCATTTAATCCAGGCATAATCTGAAACATGCGGGATTCTAGTTCCTGAGCACTTATCTTGAGATCTTTTGCTATATTTCCGATCACGGTTCCTTTATTCGCCTCCTCCGAGACGGAATATGAAGTCTGACCAATGGAAAATTTCAATAAAGACAGAAGTAACAGTATAAAGAAGCCAACAGATTCCGAGAGATTCATTATTTTGCCGTAAAATGTGCATCGATGTCTTGAAGAAATATTAAAATAAATTGACGTCTTCCGATATAGAATCCAAGAACACGACGCTGAAGCTGCTATAAGCCGTGGTTATTTACACCCCTCAATGCATTTCCCCTTGTTCTGATGCTCTGAAGGAGGGGCTCACATAACTCTCAAAGTCATGGTCTGCACTGCCACCACGTGTTTAAAACTATGACAGTTTTTTTGATGTAGTTTTCTTTACAAAAAGTGAAGTCTACTTTGCAGAACATGGTCGTACTCGTAACTTAAAATTAAAATCCAAAACATTCACAGCTCAATTAATTACAAGTTAGAAAAGTACTAAGTTGTGAGTTGTGTATAATAAATACAGTTTTTTAAATTGCCAACAAGCATTGTGCAATACTGAAGACATATTTTCAAAACTGTTCACACAGAGTGCATTACCATCATGACTCTTGACCAAACAGTTCAGCTCACCTCCAAAATCACTCAAACTAACACAACAGTTCATATACAGCTCAAAATAAACTTGTTTCAACAAACTACTGGCAAGTCTCATTCAGAAAACAAACATTTGATTCACACTGACATAAAAACACTAACAACAGACAGCATTACAGAAATTAATAACTAGTTTTATTTATTTTTAGTATAATGGATTTTCATGTACATCAATATGTAATTTTCATTTTCACTGTCTTGATTGTACTAAAGAATGTGTGATAAGAGTTTTTATAAATGCTGCAATGTGTTGCAAACGGTATTAAAATAAATTCTTATGTCAAATAATCATGTGAAAATCATACTTTCAGTATTTTAAAGCATTTGCTACACTGCACGTTACAGAACCAAGTTTTGAATCCTACAACAAAACAATTTTTGTCATGTATTGTAATCCACTTCAAAATGTTGGTACGTGTGAAAATGTTTACATTGTATTGTACTTGAATACTCTTTGTCTGCCATGCGTTCCTGCATATGGCTAAAATAATGGAATTTGAAAAAAATCTGTTATAAAAACGTTACAGTTTTGATATTAGTTTGTTAACACGTAAAGAATTGCTGAAAATGTATAGCTTTTTGCCACTTGTAAAGTATGAATGAGAAAAAAAGTTTAGAAATTTTGAACAATGTGTTTATTGCATGCATTTGGGTTCAGTCAACACAATCTCACGGCAATTCGTAACTTTTTTGATTTAGGAGCTAATTCGTATGAATTCGTACGATCTAATTCGTACAATTTAGTACGAAATCATGATTCAGTTTGCTCCGCATACACTCCTGTTTGGGTGATTGTGTGAACAGTTTTGAACTTGTGGTTTCATTACTGCATGTGTCAAAGCGGGGAATAGTGTTTAAAGTTTAGGAAAGTTTGTGTTCTTTTTTAAAAATAGCACTATAGTTTAGAAATTTTAGTTTAAAAGACTGGTTATAGCGTTTTAGCAATCGAAAATAATTTTCAAACAATGGAGAAAGAATAGCTATTAACGGCACTGCTGCTCTCCATGGTGCTGAAGTGATTTAGCTTTTTACGAAATACTCAGTAAAATAACAGTTTATTAAGCAAACCCACAGCATTCTGTCTTCATGCCAGTCTTTGAACGTAAAACAACAACAACAACATCAACAACAACAAATCTTTAAGTAGACCATTGTACCTAAATATAAATCTGTCTAAGTCCAAGCAGATCAAAAATCTGTGATTTACAGCCCTGTTGTATTACGAAAAAAACAAACAAAAAAAAGCCACGGTGTGCTAAAATTATATAAAAACGTAAAACATATATTCTGATTAAGTGAGGAATTTCAGTATGGTATCCCAATAGATTTTAGCAGCTGGTGTTTGTATGTTATATCATACGATTGTGTGTTATACATAGGCTATTTAAACAGAAAGAAGGATAAAAGCAAAGGTTTGAAAATTAAGAAAAACATTTTTAAACTTCGCTAATATGTTAATTTATAAGAGGTAATAGTATAAATAAAACAAAATAGTAAAAGACACAGCAAAGTTAAATGGCTTACCTTCTCGTTGGTAGGAAGAGTTTGAGTGCGCGTAAAAGTATCGTCACTGTTAATGCTGATCAGCTCCGCGTCTGCTGGTGGAAACGGCGAAGGGAAAACCACTACATCACTCTTTATTGTGTCTGAACTAAAACACACGTCGTACTGTTGAGTAGATTTAGAAAAGGACCAGCTGCCGTCTGGATGTGTGTTGATCACTGGAGCGCCGTACCTGCTGAAACTGCTGTCTGTCCTGTAGCATTTAGCTGCTATCAAACCCACGAGACTCAGTAAAAAGATGACTGATACTGAGACAATAGCGATGAGCAGATACAGATTCAGATCTGAAAAACTCTCCTCTTTAACAGGAACTTCTCTGAATGATGTCTTTATGTCATCCAGACTCTCGAGAACCACAACATCCATGGACGTAGTCGCTGAGAGCGACGGCTCTCCATTATCAGACACTGTAATAATCAGTGGGTGAGTTTTTAAGTCATTGTCACTCATTCGTCTCTTAGTCCTTATTTCTCCAGTGCTGCTTCCAATGCGGAAGAGATTAGTTCCTTTGGGTTCAGTTAGATGGTAAGACAGAAGTGCGTTATATCCAGAGTCAGCATCAACAGATCTAATCTTGGCTACAAAGTATCCCGCTTCAGCAGAGTAGGGGATGTTCTCAGTATTAACTGATCCAGGTTCAGAATAAGGTGCTAAAATAACTGGACTGTTGTCATTCTCATCCAGAATAAACACATTTACAGTCGCATTACTGCTCAGGGGAGGAACACCAGAGTCTGTTGCTGTAACTTGAAATTGAAATCTTTTGGTCTCTTCGTGATTAAATGATTGCAAACTGAATATTTCTCCACTTAAAGAGTTGATATTTATCAGTGTTGTTACAGGAATGCTGGAGCTGGAACTGTCTAACAGTGAATATGAAAGTTCTGCGTTCTCACCAGTGTCTGAATCATCAGCAGTCACTTTTGTCACGAGACCTCCAGCTTGACTATTCTCACTTAGAAAAGCGTTAATAACGGGTGCTGGGAAATGTGGAGCATTGTCATTAACATCAGAGACATGAACAGTTATAACTGTGCTGCTGGAAAGAGGCGGAGTTCCTTCATCTGCAGCTGTAATAGTGATGTTATACTGAGAAACACTCTCTCTGTCCAGAGGTCCATCTACCACTAGAGAATAATGATTATTGTATGATGTCTCTAGTTTGAAAGGAAACAAACCTTTCAGAGCACATTGTACAATGCCATTTTTACCCCCATCTTTATCAGACACTGTGACTAAAGCTACGGCAGTTCCGGGCTTTGCGTCCTCTTTCACACTTTCTATCAGAGGTGTTGTAACTATTTCTGGCGCATTATCATTTTCATCCACAACTTCTATTAAAACTTTACAGTGAGTGCTTTTAGGAGGACTGCCTTTATCTTTAGCCTGAACACGGAGTTGAATGGCAGGGTTCTCCTCATAATCAATTTGACCTTGAACAACAATTACCCCTGAATTAGAATTTATTGTAAAAAGGTTTTGTTCATCGGTATTTCCAAGAAATGAATATTGAATTTGCCCATTAGTGCCCTCATCCAAATCACTGGCAGAAATGGTAATGATTTTAGCTCCAAATTGGCTGTTTTCCTTCACTTTAACTTTGTATAAAGATTTGCTGAAAATAGGTTTATTATCGTTTACATCCATAACCTCAACAATAATACTCAAGGTTCCAGATTTAGGAGGTTTCCCTCCATCAACAGCAGTTAAAATTAAGTGAATAACGGCTTGCTTTTCTCTGTCTAATGTTTTTTGTAGGACTAATTCTGCAGATACAATTTGTTGCTCGCTATGAACATCTAATGAAAAATATTCATTTGAACTGAGTTTGTAGTCTTTCAGTGAATTACTGCCGACATCTAAATCTTTGGCAAATGGCAAAGGAAATCTGTCCCCCTCATTTGCGATCTCTGTAACATTTAGGGGATATGTGCTCTCTGGAAAAAACGGAGCATTGTCGTTCACATCCACTATTACAATTTCAAGTCGATAAAGTCTGTGAGGATTCTGAGCAAGAGCCTCTAAATTCAGTGCACATTTCTGATTAACGCCACACAACTCCTCACGATCAATCCTGTCTTTGACAAACAGCGACCCCGTTTTCACATTTACATCAAAATACTTTGCATTTGATCCAGGCATAATCTGAAACATGCGGGATTCTAGTTCCTGAGCACTCATCTTGAGGTCCTTTGCTATATTCCCGATCACGGTTCCTCTATTTACCTCCTCCGAGACTGAGTAGACAATCTGGCCAAGCGACGATTCCCATAAAGACAGAAATAAAACAATCCATAAACCGTAAGATTGCGAAACATCCATAATTGAGCAGTACAATGTCTAGTGATTTCGTTTAAAACGACAAAACTAAACAAACCTCTCTCGATATTATACGACTTCAAATGCAGGAGCTACTATAAGACTTGTTTTTTACACCCATGTCATTGCATTCCTCTTGCTCTGATGCTGTAAAGGAGGAGCTCATATAACCCTCGAAGTCATGGTCTGCACTGCCACCACGTGTTAAAACAGGGACGAGAGAATGACCTGAGGTATAGCAGTTTTTCTGTAAAACATCAACGTTTTGTATTGTTCTAAAAATTGTGCAGTCTCTGTAAATTCAACGTTCCAATCAAATGAATTAAAGTTTATCTGCAGAACACCTTTTAAAGTCAGTTATTGTTTACAAGACCAATTAAAAATAATCATATAATCACAAGATCATACAAAAATAACATATTTGTATATTTAACTTTAACCAAATCTCTTATATAGAATCAAATGGCAGACAACAGAAATACGTATGAGCATCAGAATAAATAAATAATAAATACATAAATAAATAAATACTACTATTGCTACTACTATTAAAAAAAATAATAATCATCATAATAATAATAACCATAATAATAAACAAAAAATAAGTCTGTGTGCCTGCAAGTTATTCCACAGTTTTGCTGGTACGACACCAAAATCCAGATCACCCCTGCTTTTCAGCCTTATTCGTGGTACAACCAATGAATCTGTGAAGTGC